TCTAATACATGAAAAATCCAGTAGGTCTCATGGGGAGGCAAATGTCAGTTGCTTATAATGGATGGCTCCTGGAATCCTCTGGGTTTTCACTACCTACTGTTATTTCCCAAAACTTGACTGAGCTGGCTGGACCCTGGATTTTCTTTGTTTGTTTGTTTGTTTGTTTGGCTAGGCAGTGGGGTTAAGTGACTTGCCTAGGGTCACACAGCTAGTAAGTGTTATGTGTCTGAGGCCAGATTTGAACTCAGGTACTCCTGAATTCAGGGCCGGTGATCTATCCACTGTGCCACCTGGCTGCCCCCATGGATTTTCTTTAGGTGATTTCCCACCCCTTGGCCCTCATGTGGTCCACAATTGCATCTAAGGCCTCTGCTACCACAGCTTCATTTAGCCCTGTCAGCATTGTGTCATTAATATATTGTATATTATTGCCCTCAGGACAGAAGACCTCACTTTCAGGTCTCTGTCCACCAGAAGGTAACAGCTTGAGGGAGAGAGCTCAAGTAGCCTTGGACAAGAATTGTAAAAGTATATTAGACTCCTCAGACTCCTAACTACTCAGGAATAGAAAAGAAAGCACTGGTGAAGTTAATATACTCTAGAAGCCACATCAGTGGAGCCTGAGGCCACTAAAAAGATGAGTCAGCAGCTAGGCATGTGAGACTTAGCTACTTTACCAATCAAGTCTTAGGGCCAGCTTCCATGGCTTTTAGTAAAAGAACTAGCCTAACCTTACACTTGTTGTTTAGTCATTTCAATCAGGTCTTATTCTTCATGACCCCATTTCGGGTTTTCTTGGCAAAGATACTGGAGTGGTTTTTGCCATTTCCTTCTCTAGCTCTTTTATTTTTTTTTCTTTAAACAGATAGGAACTGAAGCAAACAGGATTAAGTGACTTGCCCAGGGTCACACAGATATTAAGTGTCTGAAGCCAGATTTGAACTTCCTGGTTCCAAGCCCAGTGCTCTATCGACTGTGCCACCTAGCTGTTCTTAACCTTAAATAGAGGGAGTTGAAAGTAACTTGAGTATAGCATACAATGGTTCTATAATATGTAGAGGTGAGATGCAATCACCCCAATTTCATCTGCAAACAGGAGCATCTGGAAGAACTTACCATTAAGGGATAAGCTCTTCCATTTGGACTTTATGCAACACATCCTCCATGACTTTTTGGTGAGCATACCGGGCTTGATCTGTTGTTTGACAATGATAATTAAAGAATCATTGAACAAAAACACCTCTGACTGTATCTTTTAAGAGATATTGTATAATTTTAATATACTCAAGAGAGATATTTTCTTGGAGCAAAGCCTCTTGGGCTACAATCTTCCCTACAAAGTTAAATGCTTCTTAATAATCAGCAAAATTAATATAAACAAAAATCAACAAAAGTAAATATGATATTATCTTGTATTCTCTAATCCTTTGTGGTCTACTAGAAATCATATACAGAAAGATAGTCTTAGTGCATATGTAGATAATTCCCATAAAAATTTTATAAAGCCGAAAAAGTAGGCATATGAATGAGTAGTTATTGATATCTTCTCACTTTCTTTTTTTTTTATTGATATTATATGTAATTCTTTCCAATCGCTGAGTATCCTGTCCTCCTAAATAACTTGAAAGTCATTTCTTCAGTGCTTTCAGAATTGAGTCATAGCCAGAATGGATCTCTTCTATGTGTGCTTAATCTGATTTGGCTGTTCTACCTTATTTCATTTTTTCCCATTGTTTTTACATCATTTCCTGATATTCCCCCCTACCTACCATCACCACCACACACACACACTCTTCTCATTTGAACCCTCCCATATAACACAAAGTCTGATCATGTAGGCCATATCCGATGCCCTTGGTCCCTCTAATAAGAAGAGGATGTGTGTTAGTTACATTTTTTTTTGAAGCCTAGATTGTTCATTGAAGTTAATCTGAATTCAAGGGATTTTTAGTATTTTTAAAAAATTGTTATTATGGTCTGCTTTTTATCAAGGCATAAAAATCTAAGCAAGTGTGTTTAAATGTTGTATTTATCATTTTTTATGGCGCAGTCATTTATAATTCTTCTATTCTTTAATAAGGGGGACCTACTTTGTTGCCAGCTTTTTTTTTTATGCCATAAAGAGTGCAGCTAGGAATATTTTGTTGTATATGGGACCTCTCTCTTTTTTTTTCCAACAAGTTTCAATTTTTATTGATATCTTTTGTTTTTACATTGGCATCACATCTGAATGATTTCTCCCTGTCTCCTACCCCCGTGCCTTGTAACAAGGAATAAAAAATAAAGAGGAAAGGAAAGTAAGACTAATCTATACAATATAATCATCATGCAGTGGTCCATATCCATGGTGCCTAGTTCTGCAAAGAAGGGAAGGAGATCCTAACAGCACAGGTTTAGAGCTAGAAGGGACCTCAGTGATCTCATTTTCTCAGATGAGGAAACATGAGGTGTAGTGAGTTTTTTAGGTAGTCCCCAAGAGAGGAGGGATCTGAATTCTAGTCTCTGACTCTACAACTAGGACTCGTTCCATGACACAGTCTGCCTCCCTGGTATTATATTCATTTCTTTTTGGTAGTCAATACTGGTGATTATAATTATACAATATTCAGTTTCATTCTTTCTTTCCATTATTTCCATTTATGTTATTGGCTTCATTGTGTGTATTTTTCCCCAGGTCTGCTTACTTCACTCTGTTTCAGATCATAATTCTTCCCAGATAGATATTTCTTAAGTTCTTCATATACATGTCTTAGATTTCATTATTATGCCATAGTATGTCATCATTCTTCTAAATAAATTGACATCTACTTTGCTTCCAGTTCTTTCCTTCTACAAAAATACTTTTATGAATATTTATTTTGTTATATATAGGACTATTCTTTCTTTCTTTCTTTTCCCCCTGACCTCCTAGGTGGGCCAGCGATAGGATCTCTGAGTCTAAATGTGTGGGTATTTTAGCTACTTGCTTGACACAATTCCATAGTGGTTGAACTAAGTGAATTAGTGTGTGTCTGCTTTACACTCCTGTAGTACTGACTATGCCCAACTTTCATCATCTTTGCCAATTTCTTGGGTGTGAGAAGACATCTCAGGCTTGCTTTGATTTGCATTTCTTTTATTATTAGTGATTTGGAGCAGTTGGTTTTGCTGTTAAAAGTTTGCATTTCTTTTTGACAACCGTTGATTCCTATCTTTTGACCGTTATGCATTGTATAATGATTGCTGTGGACTTTTCTTCTCATTACTGGTGAAGTGTCTGGGTAAAAGGGTATCAACAGTTTAGTAACTTTGTTCCCCCTAGTTCCAAATTGTTTTCCAGAATGGTTGCACCAGTTCATAGTGCCACTGTCAGCAAGTCAGCGTGGCTGTCTTTCCACTCCTCTTCAATGAGTTTTTAATGAATTTCTTCTAGTTTGAGGTAATTCCTCAAGGTTGTTTGAGTTTATCTTTCTTTAATTATTAATGATTTTAGGAGGTTATTGTTAGTTTATATTAGTTTTTGTTTCTTCTTTTGAAAAAAGCACTTGTTTATATTCTTTGTTTTATGTTTTTTATTCTTTCAATAGAATTTTGAAATGGTCAGATTAGAATTATTATAATTACACTACATTCTTATCTTTATTCTTTCTGTAGCTAAGTGGCCCAGTGAATAAAGTGCTGGGCCTGGAGTCAGGAAGACCTGAGCTCAAATCTGGCCTTAAACTCATAGTACTTGTGTGACCCTGGGCAAGTCACTTAACCTCTTTTTCCTCAGCTGAAATGGGGACAATAAAAATAGCATCTACTTGACTGGGTTGTTGTAAGGATCAAATAAGATAGTATTTATAAAGTGCTTAGCACAGTGTGGCACATCATAGGTACTTAGCAAATGCTTGTTTCTTCCCCCTCTTAAAGTTTGGTATTAGTTTTGTATTTTGCTTTAACTAGTCAGTGTTCTGACTGTACACAACTTATTCTGAAATGATATTCACTCAGTTTACCAGCTGTTTTTTCTGCATGTTAAGATAACAATCAGTTTCGGTTTTTTGTGTGATTTTTGGTACTTTCCATTTCTGACATCTTCCCACTGTCTTTTGGAATAAAATAATAGGTTATAAGAGTAGTAGGAAACTTACTCTTTCATTTCATTCGAAAATATCCTGAAGCACATTTCTGTTTTCCTTAGTTACAGTAAAGTTACCAACTATCAAATGATATGCTGACTTGGTTTGGAGGGATTTTTTAAGATCATCATAGAATTATCCTACCTCTACATCATCTGCAGCAGAAATTCATGCACACAGGGCAAATTTACGTGGTCTTTTTGCTTGTGTTTCTGATGAACACTTCAAGATTAGATGATCAAATATCCAATGAAATCATCTCTTTTGGGGAGTTTTTTGATTGACTTTGTATTCATAAACAAACTTGGCCATATCCTTGATTGGTTTACGATTTCTCCTTGGAGGAACAATCAGTCCTTTTATTTACCTATGACTTCATTACATTTTCTGGTTACATTTACAATGAAAGTATCAATAGTGATATTGTTCATTTTCCTCTGAAGTATGGCAACACTGGGCATTAGACAAGTATCTCACATTTCAAAGTACTAACATCAAAGATAAGGTTTATGGATGACCTAGCAACTATGATATTTTTGTCATCCTCTGCCCCAAAGACTTTGTACTTACTTTGTACTTTTCCTTGTTCTGTGGTTCTCTGGGGTGAAAGAATGTATTACTTAGTACTGGTAATGAAACTTTGCCTTTGGGTAGTTCGCAGACAGTAGACAGTATGTTACCTAGATTATAGAGCCACCTTCATGGTGCCATAACTTTAGTGTCTAATCTAAGCTATGCAAATCCATCCATGTATTGTCTATCTCATATGTTAAAACATGGCCCTTAGGAAATTATTGCCTTAGGTATTTCACTTTTCATTTTTGTGTCAAGGTTTCTGTCGTATCTTTTCCTGTTTATTTTAGTAGATGACCATACCATTGTCTTTCCACTTGTTAGGTTTTCCAGAAGGATGGACACTCAATTTGTTTTGATACATCCAACGAGGATGACTGCAACTGGATGATGATGGTGAGGCCAGCAGTAGAATATGAACATCAGAACTTGACTGCCTTTCAGCATGACAATGACATTTACTTCACTACCTCCCGGGACATTCCTCCAGGCACTGAGTTGCGAGTGTGGTATGCAGCTTTTTATGCCAAAAAAATGGAGAAGCCAGTGCTGAAGCAGGTCTCCAATATTGTGCATGGTATGTGGGGGAATGACAGGCGTTTATTCCCCTTTTTGGATACGTAGCCAGCCAGTATTCCACTGTGCCTTTAGCAGACACACCTAGTAAAGAATTCTGAATTAATAAAATAAGCTTGTTTCATATATTGGGTTAACCTTTTTTAAGAAGGGTAGGTTTTTGTCTTTGGGTGGTTTGATTTGTGACTGCTTACAAAATCATGGACTTTACTTTCCTGTAATGTTAAAAATGATTTACCTGTGGAAAACTTCAATTTTTCTTCCCTATCATCTGCCCTGCAAATGTTTACAGCTAACTAAAAAAGGGACCAGGCCAGAAAATGTTAAAGAATTAACTAAGACTTGTACTGGAAACATCACTTAAAGTTCTAGTCCTGTTAACCAAGCAACAATAACATTATTTTTGTTTATTAAGGATAATATGTTGCTTTTAAAGTTTTTCCTTTATTTAAGAATGCATCTTTCATCTTTTAACTGGAAAAAAATCTACTCTTATCAGCTTTGCCTTGGACTTTTTCCCACTCTTATTTTTTCACCCTTTATAAAATACTCAGAGGCAGGTGTAGTGTTGTGGGAAGATTCCTAGATTTGGAGTCACAGGATTAGAATTCACATCTCAGTTCTGCTATTTACTAGCTACATAACCTAATCCTTTTTGAATGCTAGTTTGCTATGTAAAGTGAGGCCAGCAACAGAATACAAGCATCGGAACTTTTGGACAACATGCTTTTATAGGCGTTTCTATTTATTGTGGTTCCCAAACAGAGGTTCCCAAATTCGGTGATACCACCCTCAGAGGGGTCCTGGAAGGATCCAGGGGGATGGTAGTAGCCTCAAGTGCAATTAGGGGGCATTGAATAAAAATAAGGGGGCAGTGGAAACATAAAGAAAGAAGAGAAGAAAAGAAAATTTTGAAAACCATTCATACATATTTCATCTATTGTGTAACAGAGTTAAAGTTGTAATGATTACATTATTTTCCAAATAAACACACAAAATGCAAATTATAATTAATCAGTATTCAAGTCTGCTGACAGGTTTTAACAAGCAAGTGTTGGCAGGCAAGTATGTAGCACATTATTGGGAAGTCCAGCATGCATTGGCAGGAATATGTGTGTGTGTAGTAACTTGTTTACAACATACTATATGGTTACATGATGTAATATTGCATCATCAAAATATCAATGCAGGAAAAACCCACAAATTTATAATAAACTATTAAATTTAAGATGTCATTTTAAAAAACATTATACATTTTTTGAAATAACACAGATTTTAAAAAACCCGTTAAAGAGTTAAAGAAAGTAGATTTCCAGAAAGGTGCTGAATTTTACATACATACATACATACATACATACATACATACATACATACATACATATGTATATATATCTTTAAAGGGGACAGTAGGCCAAATAAGTTTGGGAACCTCTGTTCTATCCTGTTCCAATAACCTTTAAATCAGGGCTATTTCTCCACTGCTTAAGTAAGGATCTTTTCTTCCTCTGGGAAGAAACTCTTATCCATGGTTAAGGAAAAGTAGCAATTCTTTTCTTTTTTTTTGGCTTAACAAAATTTAGCAAAACCTTTTAATCTCCCTGGGAGGGAGGAAGGGAGGAGCCCATTATGTTTCAATGAAGAAAAATATCCCCGTTGGCTACTTTGGGTGGAAACAGTATGAACAAAGTCTCAAAAGGTGAAATAGAGTCACATTGTGAAGGACTTGAAATGACAAATTATTAAGTTTGTATTTTGTTGATGAGATAATAGGTTATTGCTAAAAATTCTTGATAATTGTTACAGTTGATGGTGATGATGATGATGATGAAGATTATGACAACCATTTATGTAGCACTTGTTATATGCCAGACACTGTGCTAAGCACTTTATATTATCACATTTGATACTCACAATAACCTTGAGTGATAGGTGTTATCTTTATTGACACTTTTACTGGGTTTTTTTTGACACTTTTACAAATGAGGAAATGAGATAGAGATTAAATGATTTGCCCAGGTTTATGTAGCTAAGTAAGCATTATAGATCAAATTTGAACTCAGGTCTTCGTGACACCAGGCCCAGTGCTCTATCCACTGCACCACCTAATTGCTTTTGATATATTTAGACCTGTGCTTTAAAAGATAACGAGTTTAGAAGCTTAGAAAGTAACCTTGAAACCTATTGCTGTAGTCCAGGCCACAATGGATGAGACCTAGAATTGTTTTGTGGTCATAGAGTTGGGGAGGGGGGTGCCAGGAGGTGGGAGAAAGAGGTTGGTCCAACAATTGGCTTGACTAAAGAATTCATTCAGCTTTAGGGTATTCTTAAACAAGGCTTATTCACTGATCATAAAAGTGATCATAAACAAGCTCATAATGTGACACACCACCAAGTGAAAGTTAGTCTACAAACACTTATTAAATTCTTACCACGTGCCAGACACTGTTCTAAGTGTAGGGATACAAAGAAAAGCAAAAACTTTATCCCTGCCCTTAAGAAGCTAGCCTCCATTGCCCCTATCTCACTTGGTGATCCCATTAGCTCCCAAAGATTCAAATATCAGCCCTACACAGATGATTTCCAGGTCTTTGCATCAAGCTCCAGCCCCTTTCCTATGTCACCATCTGCCTTTTAGATTATCTTAAATTAGGGGCAGCTAGGTGGCGCAGTGGATAGAGCACCGGCCCTGAAATCAGGAGGACCTGAGTTCAAATCCAGCCTCAGACCAAACACTTGACACTTAACTAGCTGTGTGACCCTGGGCAAGTCACTTAACCCCAGTTGCCTAAAAATTAAAAAAAAAAGATTATCTTAAATTAGTGGCTAAACAGAGCCTTTTTTATTTGTTCCTGGAGACAATAGGGAACTCCTGGAGTTTATGGATGGAGGGAGGCTGTGACATTGTCTGACCTGTACTTTAGTAGAACAACCCAAGTGGATGATGGATTGTAGTGGGGAGAGATGTGAAGCAGCGGGACCTTCTAGAAGGTTATTGCAGTGGTTCAGGCACCAAGATGGTGAATGTATGATGAGAAGAGGTTGTGATGTTATGAAGACAGGAAAGAAAATACTTCACAAGAGTTTCGGATACGTGGGGTCAGTGTGAGTGAGGAGTTGAGGATGACACTGAAATAAGCCTGGTGACTGGGATCACCGTGTTTCTCCTGGCAATAAGAGGAATATTGTGAGGGTTTGTCTAGAAAGATAATGAGTTCAGTTTTGGACTGTCTTGTAATGTTTCCAAGCCTACCCTGAAAAGCAGATTGTTCAATGAAAAGTGAAAAGTAAACAAGTCAATTACTCAAGAGAAGCAAGAGTGTTTTAATAATGTGTTGTTGTTCAGTCATGTCTGATTCTTCATGACATGTTTGGGGTTTTCTTGGCAAAGATACTGCAGTGGTTTGCCATTTCCTTCTCCAGCTCATTTTACAGATGAGGAAACTGAGTCAAAAAGTGTTAAGTGACTTGGACAGGATCACACAGCTAGTAAGTGTCTGAGGCCAGATTTGAACTTAAATCTTCCTGACTGCAGGCCCAGCACTCTATCTATCACACCGCCTAGCTGCCCATTATAAGTAGATTACTTTTTTCAGGCTTCTGAGTCTAAATTTTAATCATCAAAGACTAAAATTTGATTTTAGTTGAATTTTCAGTTTCTTCATCCTTTTGTAATGCAGTATTTGCATACTTATGAATGCTGATTTATATAAACATGTTTTGCTTTGTAAAATGTCCCTCTTTGGCTATCTGAAACTGCTGGGAATTTTGTCTTTCTGCTCTTAAAGTATAGCATATTCCCTCAAAGGCAATAATGAAGTAGTGTCACTGAAGGATCAAAGGTGTGTTTTAGGAAAATTTTTCTACTTAATGTTTTGGAGAAGGAAATATTTAAAAGTAAAAAGGTCACATTCAACATGGTATTGTGGATAGAGTACAGAACATTGAGTGAGGAAAACCTTATTTGAATCTCTCCCCAGACTTAAGCAATATGACCGTGGTTGAATTACTTAACTGCTCTGGGCCTCAGTTTCTTCATCTCTATAAAAAAAAAGGATTGAATTCAGTGACCTTTTAAGGTCCCTTATAGTTTGAAATCTATGATCAGTTAAAAGATTCAGGAAAAAAGTGTCTTGTGGTAGTGGTAATAGAAATGAGAAGGAAAATAGTATCTGGCAGCTGATTCCATATGGGAGGTAAAGATTAGGGAGGAATAAAAGATGCCTTCAGAATTTCAGCTTGGGTAACTGGGAAAGTCATGATGTCATTTAGTCAGGAGGAAGAACTGATGGGTAAAGATTCGATTCAGTTAAATTATTTGCCAAGCCCCTATTATATGTAAGGCAGTGTGTTAAATTTGTTGAATTTGAATTGAGTTGTATTCAGATAGAGATGTACAGCACCTAGTTTAGTACATGTAAATTAAGATAGTTACTAATCTATTCATTCATTCATTCAGTTAACAAATTATATGCAAATGATGTACATTCCCCTCAGAAGTGAGGGGAATATAAACACAAAAAATTTCATCTTCCCTGTTCTCAAAGGTCTTGTAGTTTGGCAGAAGTTAAGATGTGTATGAATATGTTTTCTAAATTAGAATGAGAATATTACATAGAAGAACTGAAATCTCAGGCAAGAGGGGGCCCCTGAGCTGAACCTTACAGGAAGAGAAGGTTTAGAGATTAAATGCATGGAGGTAGGAGAAACGAAATGAAGTCAGCTCTTTGATTAGAAAAAAAAAATCCAACACATTTAGTTAAATGCATGCAAAATAATTGCTGCAGCATTCTAATTGTGACCTTTCTTTCTCTCACATGCTTTAAGAAAACTGAAGGGAATAAAAGGTCACACTTTTTAGACATAGAAAATGTATAATTCTGAACAACTTTTGTTTCCATCTAAGCGGTTTTCATTGTAAATGTGAATTCTGCAGAATTACATCAGGAATACTGTGGAAGGAAAGTTCTCACATGACCATAGATTTAGAATTGGAAGGATGGT